GGGTGGAGGGGTGCAGGTGTGGAGGGGTGGAGGTGTGCAGGTGTGGAGGGGTGGAGGGGTCCAGAGCAAACTTCAACAGGGCCCAACGTGGAACAATCACATTTGCCGGGCGGGGCGATGACGACATATCAATGATACACCAGTCATGCCAGGCAATGAGGGAACCAGGCGCTTGCGGGCCGGTGTGCAGGGGCCAGCTGAGGACGGCAAGAGCACCTTAATTTGTAAGGAGCGCGCACCTTGGAGTGCAGGTAGTCGAGGCCCCGCGCGGTGTCGAGCAGCAGCTTCACCTTGGCCTGCGGCGCCGCCAGCCACTCGGCGCGCGCGTTGAGCGCCGACCGCAGGCTGCCGTGCGGCAGGTACTCGCAGACCAGGGCGGGAGGCCGCACCGGCGGGCCGCCAGCGGGGGGGCCCCCGCGCTCGAAGAGCGCTGGGGAGGGTGAGCGGTGTTGGGGCGGGCAGGCACGGTGTATTGTGAACACGGGATGATGCGGGGGGTCGCATGCATCAATGTGTCGCTTGACAAGGGGTACCGACCCTTAATCGGGCTCTATCTATCTGAAGGACGACAGAGGCGCAACACAGGCACGTGCTCGCACACCGAGCGACCGCCCCCCCCCCCCGTGCCAGGCGCCCTGGCCGCCCCGGCACGCGTGAAAGCGCCCGCCAACGCACCCGCGGACGCGTGCGGCCCCGAGTCCGCGGCACCCTCCCCTTCGTCGCCGCCCAGCGCGCCGTCCGGCATGACCGCGCCGTACACCGCCACAATGTTGGGGTGCCTCAGCCCCGCCAGGATGGCCGCCTCTCGCAGCAGGTCGGCGGCCGCGGCGGCGGAGGGCGCGCCGCCAGCGGAGCCGTCGGCGACGAGCAGGCCGGGGCTGAGGCACTTGACTGCCACCTCGGTGCTGCGCCAGCGCGCGAGGTAGACCTGGCGTGGTGGGCAGGTGAGTGGTCGTGTGGGTGTGAGTGTGCGCGTGTGTACGAGTGTGTTTGTGCGTAAGCGTGTAAGTGTGAACGAGGACGCTTGCACAAACGCAGAGACCGTGACATACAAATCGTTTTTGTTTGCTTGTTTGTTGATGTGTGTGTGTGCGTGCGTGCGTGCGTGCGTGTGTGTGTGTGTGTGTGTGTGTGTGTGTGTGTGTGTGTGCGCGTGCGTGCGTGTGAGTCTGAGCCTGGGTATCAGTGAGTTGTGAGAGCCGGAGAATGAGAGCGGGAGAAAGCAAAGGAGCAACCCGGTGGCGCGAGCGCCGCCCCCCTGCCCATCCAGAAGTCACTGGTCGGCACACCAAACACATCCTCTGACTGCCCGCGGCTTACAACTACCCCCAACGTAGTGCCCGCGGCACCCCATGCGCCCAAATCGACATCGACGCACCTCTCCGAACGCGCCCGCGCCCAGCAGCCTCACAACCCGCAGCTCCCACGGCCGTATCACCTCCACCCTGCCGCGCAGGTCGCGCGCGCACGCCCTCAGCTGCTCACGCGCCTCCTCCTCGCGCGCGCCAACGCCGGCGCCGGACCCAGACGTGCCGCTCGCTGGCGGCGCACGCGAATGGTCGCTGTCAGTGCCCCCGCTGCAACCGCGGTCGGCCGCGGCGGCGGCAGCCCTGCTGCCGCCGCCGCTGGGTGCGCTGCTGCCGCCGCTGCTGCTGCTTCCCGGGGGGGCGCCGCAGCGGCTGCCGACAGACATCGGCGCAGAGCCCTCGCCCGCCACCGCGGCCGCCGGCGCGGCCGCCGCCGCGGGGCCCCCCCACTCGCCGCGCCCGCTGTGAACCGCTCCACCTGATGTCCCCAGCGGCGCCGGCGCCGCATGCTGCACCACATACAACTGCACTTTTGCGGCGGGCGCGCCTGTGCGCTGCGCTGCAGCCGACAGCTCCTGGCACTCCTCCAGGAGGCTTTGGAGATCTTGATCTGAGGCCAAGTCCAAGAGCAGCGCCTCCGCACCCGGCAGGGAATACTTGAGGCGGCTCTGCTGCAGGAAAGAGGCCGACCACGGGGCGCAGCAGTGGGAGGAGAATGTGAGGGGATGGGGCTGAGGGAGGTCAAGAGTCGGGGAGGCGAGGCCCGAACGTAAGAGCAACAGCGGCAAGCGGCCGCGTGACGCCCTCCCTCAAAAGCAATACCACATGCAAACCTCAGCACGCTTGCCGCCAACACGCACAACCAACAACATAGTTTGCAAGACCAGGTTTGAAAATATGGGCAGATGCCAAGATCCTTTTGCTCAGCAGGCGCACCTCACTGTCCACATTTCCACCCACAGCCGCCGCCACCTGCTCGCGCAGCCCCCGCAGCCCGCTGCCGCAGCTCAAAGTCAGCAGCCGCCGCAGGCCGCCCTCATACGAGCCCCCGGCCGGCGCGAACTCCCCGCCGTGCGCGAGCACGACCCGCACGCGCTCGCGCAGCTGCGGCGCGTGCGGCGCGCTCGACGCGCCGCGCAGCTGCGGCTGCGATGGGCCGGGGGCGGCAGCCTTCTCTGGCAGGGGGTCGGAGGGGGCTCGCTGGGCGAAGGGGCTGAGGCTCGGGGCCCCTGAGCGGGGTGCCTCCTGCTGGGCTGGCTGCTGCTGCGGCTGCGTGTTGCGCCTGGCCAACTGCTCTGCCTCAAAAGACGCCCGCTGGTGATGATGCTGCTGCTGCTGCTGCTTGGAGGCGCCTCCTCCATCAGGCGTCGTCGGCTGGCCCCTGTGGTGCCATGGCCAGTGCAGCGACTGCAACAACTTGCTCCCGAGCCGTTTCACAGGCGTGTCTCGCTCGGGCACCTCATCCGCTGGCCCCTGCGACTGTGCTTCAGGCGCTTGAGGCTTGGCCACATCTTCGCCGCTGCCGCCGCCGCGCCCTGCGCGACCGCTGCCGGCCGCGCACGGGCTGGCACCGGCGCCAGCCTCGAAGGATCGCCTGCGCTGCCGAGACAACGGCAGCGGCGCCGGAGCCGCAAGCGCGGGTTCCTGCGTAAGAGCCGCCGGCACCGCCGCTGCCGCTGCCTGGCCCTCCGTCAGTTTGCTCTGTCTGGCGCCGGCTCCAGCCTCAAATGAGTGCCTCCGCGGCCGACACAACCGCTCAGGCGCTGGCGGCTCCGGCAAACGCGACAGCGCAGCCGCCGCTGACGGCGACGCGTAGCCCTCTGCTGACGCTTGCACCCGCGCCAGGTGGGGTGCCGACAACGCCGGCGCTGGCGGCTCCGAAGAGCAGGACGAAGCCGCCCCGTGCGCTTGGCCGCCACCCGACTGCCGCGGCAGGAGCTCGGGCACAGCTCGGCTTGCGCCGCAGCCGCTGCCAATTTGGGCGTCTGCTCCTTCTGACCCTTCCAAAGACGATAGGCGGATCAGGCGGGCGGGGTTCGGCAGAGCCTTTGCTGGCCGGTGGGAGGCGGGTCGCGGCGGCGCGAGGACGATGGGCAGCCTCCCGGTGCAAGGCAGAGCGTATGGCATCGGCGGCATGGGCTGCTGCTGCTGCTGCTGCTGCTGCTGCGCTTGGTGCTGCAGCGAGGTGGGCGCCAGCGCTGACGGCAGCGACAGCGGCAGTGGGTCGAAGAGCACGGGATTGGCGAAGCCCTGCCATGCTGCGGGGTCAGGAGCACACAGCTGGGGGTGCGGCCGCGGCGGTGGGGGCGGCGGCTGGGGCGGCGTATCAGCATGCCATGGTATGGCCGTGCCAATGCGCTGCTGCTCCTCCGAGCGCCGCCGCTGCCGCTGCTGTGGCTGTTGCTGTTGCCGCTGCAGCGGCTGCTGCTGCTGCTGCTGCTGCTGCTGCTGCTGCTGCTGCTGCTGGTGCTGCTGCTGTTGCTGCTGCTGCGGTTGATGCGACCACGCGGCCGCCGCTGCCGCCACCGCCGCCGCGGCCGCGGAGCCGCGCGAGTCCCATGTGCAGTGCCCGCCAGAAGGTCCGCTCGCAGGCGCCGGCCACTGCAGCGGCCAGCCGCCCAGCGGCAGGGGCGCCTCCTGCGGCAGCGAGGGCGCGCGGCCGCAGAGCCCTCCGCTGTCGTTGCAGGAAGACGGGAGGGCGGCATCGAGCAGCGCCTGCGGCAGCGGCTGTGGCCCCTTGCGGGGCGGCGTCTCGAACGTCCCCATCCACGGCGTCGCCCCAGCGCGCGC